TGATGATGATGATGATGATGATGATGATGATGATGATGATGATGATGATGATTGATGATGATGAATGATGAATGATGAATGATCGTGGTGGTGGTGATGATGATGATGCTGATGATCATGATGAATTAAATATAATCTCCAGTCAACAGCTATAATGAGAGGTGCAGTTATTTGTAAAGGGTGGCTGGGATATAACTCACGATTCAAAGCGGGTTAAAGGAAGAGGAATAGAAGAGACAATTCTCTATCATGTGGTAAACTTCAATCAACAGGGGATCCAAGAATTTTCAACATTTTCTTTTCTTTTTCGTCTGAGAAAGAAACTGGAGGGTAGCAAAAGGGAGAGGCAGGTGAAGACTCCTTACGGGGTTCTTCTACACAGACAGCCGGCCGATTCGCTCCAGGCGAATCGGACAATGACGGACCCTTTCACAGGCTCCCGCGTTCGAGCATTTTGCATGCCTGTTTGATTCGACTTGAAACGGCATCAATCTAATTCATCTCAATGTGCTCCGTAAGCTCCTAACTGGTCCAGTTTCATATCTCACGGGTGAATCATAAAAGGAAAACTTACGTGGTCGTCGGTGAATATGTTGAAGTGATGACCCGGTATACTCCAAACAACTGGCGCGAAATCATTGAGATACTTCTCCCAGCCCAGAGCCGGAAATTCACGCACAACATCAACCCTACAAACGGCATCCGGCATGTCTGGTCTTGAAACCGGCACGTAGTCATCACAGCGGAGAAGAATAGTCTTGGGGATAGACGGAAGGTTATGTTTGTGATTCCCAGCGTTGCGCGACAGCTTCGGTTCGATCAAGAGGAGTTTTTTCTCGAGCTCAGTCCTTCGGAGGGCCAATTCAGAATCGGTACATTCCCTCCAGATTGGTGGAATCCAGTTGTAAGCCATAGGTTGAGCCAACTTTATGCACTGCGAAACAAGTTTGCGGGTTTCGGGCTGGGTGCCTTTGCTAAACACTGGCTGGGACCCAACTAGGTTCGCTTTCTCTTCAAAAGCCGCGAGTGGATAAATAGAGTCAACCATGACCATCCCGACAATGCTTAAGGAGGAAGTCCTCAGCAGGATATTGGCCACCTCTAGGGACAAGATCCCACCTAGCGACCAGCCTGAGAGAGGACTTTTATCAGCACTCCATGTCTCTTCGCTAAGGCTCCATCACTCACCACCAAGTAAAAGCCGTCCCGATGGCACAACCGAGAGGATCAAATCAGCATATATCCTGGCCATTTCCGGAAGGCCATGTTCCCAGGGTTGGCCGGAATAAAGTCGCGGATTCTGTATGCCATATACGGCTCGGTCTAGGGAATTCAGATAGCAATACGATACGGTAGTTCCCCCGCCGTCGTGGATGAGAACCAGTGGTGTTGCCGTCTCCAATCCAGGAGGGGCAGCTTGTATCATATATACGCAGTCCTCCATCGCTGCGAAATGATGGAATTCGTTCAATCAACGCTCTGGAGGATGTGCGAACACAATGAAGAATTACGCTTCCCGTTTCGTAGATATGTCCCTCATAGTTGGGGCATGTCGGTACGTAGTGTAGAACTAGTGCACTAGTTAACTAGCTGTTAGTAAAAACTCGAGAACTAACTATTGTTACGAGTTATTTCAGCAAAAAATCCGTTCAGCGTCGTGTGAGTGGACTTCTACCCAGCAAACTGCCAACGCAATGGACCTCTGAGATTGGGGCTGCGGCTGCCCTACCTACCTCACTTTGAATGCATTTCCATAGCTAAGGTGTGTGTGTAGACAACTCCCATGATGTGCGTTGACTGCAATCCCCACCGAGCTGGCCATGTCACACAAATGTTAGTCGAAGATTTTCACGAATGGTGGTCAACTCCAAGCGAGGTTGCTCATTTTTGTGGCTTCGTCGCTTATTGATTTCATTGATAGTTGCATGGTTTATGATAGAACTTCGATCTAAATAAATTTAGAAATGAATGGTAGTCAGTTGATAACTCTAGTATTCTGTACTGTATCTGTGCTGTTTCCTGTGCTGTTTACTGTGCATATATTTAAACATGTATATATAACTAGCGATAAATAACAAAATCCCTAACCCCAACAGCATCGCGGTCATGTCAGAGATTGATCAAAATTCATACTAATTCTTGACAATCTCTCTAAAAGGCATCTAAGTTAGCCTTTAACTGATGACTCCACCTTGGCCCGTGTTCCCACCCCAGTCCCAGTGACAACTTCAATAACTCTAGTAACTCCTTAACTGGATCCCCTGGCTGCTTGCCGTCGAGGTTACGAAACACTATCTCTGAGCATTAACTACTGAGGGGAGATCCCTCATATGGTTTCGTAGTTCCCGTTGCGGGATTGCTGTTGCGAAGCTCGTGCGGAACTGTCCGGGCTCAACGACGAGAATACGAACGCTGGAAGGGAGAGAGGTCATGAGCGAGAGCTTCCTATATCCCTGTGGGTTTGCGTGTTGGCAGACCTTTGCATTCTGCGGCGGTAGGGAAACAAAGTCGATTCTCAAAATGAATGGATACCTAGGTAACTAGCTATCCACCTTCAAGGGCAAATTTTGCTGCCGGTGTACACGGAGCAAGAAGGCCGGCCCTCAACGCCTGCTATGCTGCCAATATTTACGATGGTGCTGGACCTCGGTTCCCTCTTGGACGGAATGACTGTCTTCATAACTCTTACTGGGCCATAAACATTCTGTAGTTAACTGTTGGCGTATCTCACTTCACTAATCATTGTTCAGCATCATGCATGTTCAATCAATTCCTCAGAAAACGTCCCATTACTATTTATCCGCTCCCAACTCTACGACGAAGCCTAAGGGGATAATCAGAGAGATTATAGTCTTGCAGGACCTTCTTGATCTTCTCCTATACGTCAGACGCGGTGGCATCCAACTGCAACCATCTTCCCCCCCCTTCCCCCCTTTTCCTCCACCAGCCAAGAGCTTCGATCTGGGTGAGATCCTGTCTGGCCTTTTCTGTGTTTCCCTCAGCGGCATTGACCCGGTTGCCGGCTCTCAGGACTGTTCTGCAATGGCGGCTTCGAACCCGGACGATGCGCCAGTGTTAAACCAGACAGGAGAATCTGTCATAATCATTCGTGGCTTATTTACTTCTCTCTCTTTTGCGTGCTGCGCGAAGGTGCTTTTAGACAGCTGGCTACGAGATTCGCCGCGGGGGGAGATCACATTTGTATATATCCATTTTTTAATGCGAAACCTCTTTAGGACATAATAAAATGGAATTTAGTTATCAAGAGGAGTGGGCGGTGGAAAGCTTTTCTTCGCAGAAGCTGAAGCTGAAGAAGAGGAACTCGAACAGTTCGTCCACAAAACTCCACTCTGGGGAATCCTAAGCCCCGCAATTAGCGTGTTCAGCCGGATGAAGGGTCAACAGCACCAGACGCCATTCTTCCCCACTAATTACATGTCAGCAACCAAGCATGACAATATCTCCCGGCCGAGGATGTCCAGGGTAGGTACAATCGGTGGTGGGCAGGCTTCTGGACATTTATCAGCTTCAACTAACCATTCAACGCAAGTAACACCGTCTCCATCTCACACTTGTGCAATCAGTGGAGCAACCAGGAGATTACAACTTTTCTTGATGCGGTTGAGTTACGCAGGGTATAAAATGATGAAATCCGTCGAGCAAGGAATCACAGAGACAAATATTTAACTATTTAAGTATCTGCGGGGTTCACTTTTCAATCGGAAACAATCCAGCGCAGCGCAGCACAATACCAAAGAAGCACACGGGACAGGATGACTTCATCACAAGGCGATTTTGAAACGTTCCCTCTGGGTGACTGGAAGCTCCAGAGCGGGCAGATCATCCCAAATGCTCATATTGCGTTCAAGACGTTTGGCGAACCGGGCTTTCCCACAATTGTCTATCCAACTTGGTATTCCGGACGTACGTAAAGTTCATTTTCCATATTCTCCCATATCCCCACACTCATAAATACATCCATGCGATGTATCCCCTGCCATAATGAATTTTAATCCATACACCGTACATGCCCAATAGATCCGCGCTTGCCTGTGGAAAGGGGATCGAATTGAGCTATACCAACACTTACCCTCTTTTCATTTCATTCGTAGTTATTGCCGATAATCTGTGGCTGGTTGGTGATGATAGGGAACTCAGCCCAAAGAAATACTTCATCATCATCCCAGCCTTGTTTGGGAACGGCCAATCGTCATCACCTTCCAACACCCCTGGGGTTAGAGAGTTCCCTCGCATCACATTCTATGACAACGTGAGGGCGCAGCATGAGCTCGTCACCAAGCATTTTAACATCAGCCATCTACGCGCCGTCATAGGGTGGTCTATGGGGGCGGCGCAGTCATTCCAGTGGGCGACGCAGTATCCAGACTTTATGGACATCATTGTTCCGTTCTGCGGCTCAGCAAAAACATCTGTACACAACCAAGTCTTCCTTGAAGGCGTCAAGAGCGCCTTATTGTCCGCCAAGGGGATTTGTTCGGCTGGGGTGGGGGAGGTTGGGTCCACGAGAGATGACAGCGTGTACAGGACATGGACTCGGGACGAGAAAGAAACGGGTCTGAAAGCGTTTGGCCGAGTGTATGCTGGCTGGTAAGTCGAATCTGAACGGAGCCGAAAGTGTCTGGCGGTATCTGACATGTGAATTTGATCGTTTCTACTGTTAAAGGGGATTTAGCCAAACTTTTTACCGACAGAAGCTCTATGAAACAGTTCTCGGATTCAAAGATCTCGAAGACTTTATGGTGAATTTCTGGGAATCGTTCTTCCTAGCCAAAGGTATATAAATTCGAGGGGTGGCAGATAATCGATAGCTCGGAATGGCACAGAATCACAGCTGAATTGGCTATTAAGCGGGGAGGTCTGTAAAAATGGCTGACACAACCATCTGGAGTAGACCCGGAGAACCTGCTTGTCATGCTGCAGACGTGGCAAAACGGCGACATCTCTAAGCAGGAACCGTACAACGGCGACTTCAAGGCTGCACTGCAGGGCATCAAGGCCAGGACTTTGATTTTGCCTAGTAAAACCGACCTGTATTTCCCGTGAGTGACTTCCCCTCGAGCTCTACCCATCCAAGTCGACGCTTGTATTGCCATGACGAACTGTCGTCAACGATTTAACACGAAGCAGACCTGAAGATTCGGAGTACGAGTTTGCAAATCTGCAGCCGGGAATTGGCGAACTTGATGCCTTCCCAACTGTCTGGGGCCGTAAGTTTTCATCCACCCCCCCCCCCCCCCCCCCCCCTTTTTCGGGTCTCCCCCCCCCTTTTTTGGGCCAAAGGGCCTGAGTAGTCCGAGCCTGTCAAGGATGTAAGGTGAATGCTGATCGGGGCGTTGAATAACAATGATAGACTGGGCCGGAGCACCCACTGGGAGCAAGGAGGATGGGGCGTGGCTGAACGACAAACTGGCGAAGTGTTTCAACGAGGCTCCAGCCAGCAAGCATTCCACCACTGAGCTATAAAAGGGGCCAACTATATTGATTAGTTAGTTAATAACCGTGGACGGGCAGTTAACTTATTAAGCAGGAAATCATTAGTTAGTCAGTCAGTTAGTTAGTAGCCTTGAGCAGAACCGCTGGATGGCGACGGTGACGGGATCAATGTTTAGTTACCCATTGAGGATTGCAAGTCTCTCTATATATAACTAATCAATTTACATTCTTTTTCTGAGTAAGTTATTAGTTATCCCATCTATGAAGAGCAGCTCAGCCCGGTCAGGTGACGAGGCGATGCCCTAAATCGAGGCAGAGAAAGAAAAAGAAAAAGAAAACACAAAAACAAAACAAAATCCACAGAGGGTGACGATTGTTCAGAACATTATTCAGTTGGTCTGAGGGACGACTTAATTGTTCTGGGACTGGGAGACTGGTGTTTGACTGACTGTCGGGCACAGGCAGTCAAGTTATTTGTATTATTTCTATCATTGCTTGGTATCCACAGCGCGTGGAAATGCCCGCTGCCAGACTCTGGTCGTCTGTCCTCCGCAGGTCGGAGGCTGCAAGTTAACTATTTTAACTACTACGTCACCCCGTCTCACACACACACACACACACACACACACACACTCTCTCTCTCTCTCTCTCTCTCTCTCTCTCTATCTCTGTCTCTATCTCTGTCTCTCTCTATCTCTCTCTCTGCTTTCATGCACGCCCGTGTGCTGCTGGTGGGGCAAAGAGAGGAACAGTAGTCATCCACGGAAGTACAGGTGTCTCGTAAGACGAAAATGCAATCCGTCCAAATTTCATTTCTGTGATGGCCAGCTAACCAGAGCCTGCAGACGCCCGCAGTGGCTCTTACGTCCAAGGCTTCTCGGAGACCCGAGGCTGCATATTTATTATCTATTCTTCCTGACTTGCCTGCGCTGCTGGATTCCCATCCTCCCCCACCTTGGGTTGCAATATTTTTAAATCATAAATATATGCGTATTACTTGCACTTGTTCACACGCCCCCTCGCGTCCTCTAGTTTTCTCCCACAGTAATTCCTCAAATATTCAATCCGTACATAACCCGGCCCTCGGGTTGCCCAGATATCTGCTTCATAACTACCCGTGGACCTGTTCGTCATGACTTCGTCTTTCCCTCCGCCACCAGTTGACTCGATAGGTTCGTTAGATAGTTTCTTCGATTCACTCTTCGTCCAGCGGTGGGACAATTCATTGCATCAGAAAAAGGACCACGGCTGACAAGGCGCATCCATTTCTGTATAGACTGGGATAATGTAGGGTTTAAAGTTCGTGAAGGTAGGTCTTGTTCTGCCCTGTAATAAATATTGTTATTTACGTATTCTTCTTCTTGTTGTAAAACTACACGCAGCTCAGTCACAAGTCGCCCAAACAACTTTTTTATAACATTATAAATATCTGGAACCATCCAAGCCTTGCTAATATCAACAACCACCCCTTACCGCAGTCAACGGCCATGTGGAATCTCACTTCTCCCACTCAGCCAACCCCCAGTGGAGTGCCCCCCGCTTTGTTGCATCTCCATATATTCCCATCCACGGCATGGCCCCAGGCCTTAACTACGGCCAGCAAGCCTATGAAGGTATGAAAGCCTTCCGTCATGCTCCCTCCGCCTCGTCCCCTTCGGCCCACGGCCGCATAACCATCTTCCGGCCCCAGAAGAACGCTGCCCGTATGCAGCGCTCTGCTGAGTTCATCTCCATTCCCCCCGTCCCCCAATCGCTCTTCCTCGAATGCGTCCGACTCGCCGTCTCCGCCAATGCAGAATTCGTTCCCCCGCATTCAACTGGTGCTGCTATGTATATCCGCCCTCTGATTTTCGGCTCCTCCCCCCAACTGGGCCTCTCCCCGCCCGATGAATATACCTTCGTCGTTTTCGTCATGCCAACGGGTGTGTACCACGGCGTTCATGCCGTGGATGCCTTGATCCTGGAAGACTTCGACCGCTCTGCCCCCGACGGCACAGGTTCCGCAAAGGTCGGTGGCAACTATGCACCCGTCCTCCGCCATAGCGATAGCGCGCGTGCGGAAGGCTATGGAATTACCCTACATCTGGATAGCAAGACGCGCTCCGAGATTGATGAGTTCTCGACCTCTGCCTTTATTGGCGTGCGTAAGGACAAAGATTCCGGAGCCATTACCCTTGTGATGCCAGACAGCAAGAACGTGATTGATTCGGTGACGGCAACGTCCGTGTGCGAAATTGGCTTGAAAATGTTTGGATACAAGGTCGAGCGCCGGAGGGTGGGATACGAAGAGCTTTCGGAGTTCAGTGAGGTTATGGCTGCTGGTACTGCCGCTGCGCTGGTGCCCATTAAGAGCATCACGATGAAGTCCAAGAATGACAAGTTTACCTTCGACGCTGGCAAGGCTGCCGAAGGTGGCGATGTCTGTAGAAAACTCCTCAAAACACTCAAGGGAATCCAAACCGGTGATATTTTGGACGAGTTTGGCTGGTTGGTTGATATAGAACCTATTCCCAAGGGATGGATGGACGGCGCTGGGGGCAAAGATATTCTTAATGAAGCGAATTTTCCCTAAACCCTCCAGCACTGTTGATTTCCTTTAAAATTTCTCGTGTCTTGTGTTTTGCCGCCCTTCTCTTGGAATAATCTAGGTGGCTAACAAAAGTTACATCGCCATAACCGCGTGTTGTTTATGTTCTTGAGAAATGAAATTTGAATTAAATTGCCGTTGAGCCTAACCGAGATACGAAATTTACTACATTCTCTCTCTCTCCCTCTCTCTCCCTCTTTTCGCATAAAAAATCTCCACCTCGCCACTGGCTACCCTCGCGGTTTACTCAAACTAACTTAGATTATCAGCCTGATGAAATCACCCTGAAGTCCTATCGTACATTTGGTCTGAGTCTGGTATAAGAAAAGGTAAAAGCAAAAAGGTCTCTTATTTAGCTGGATGGGCTGAAGAATAGAGTTGCTACACAGTTGATAACAATTTTCAGTTGAAACATTTCAGAAAGATAAAAGACACTCGGCAGTTGCCCATTCCGATTTCCTTCTTAAAATATCACGAAATGTTACCTCTCACCATTGTCAAAAATTGTTGAGGCTTGATTCTGGGTTCATTTGTTTTTGTTGCTCTGGGTAGTTGGAAAGAAATGAAAACATGGGAAAAGAAGAGCCAACGAAGAGCAAGCAAAGAAAAGAAGAAGGGAAAAGGGTCTCGGAGATTAGGATGGGAAAGTAAGAGAAACGACACAGAGAAATAGAAAAAACACCCTCTACCGAACCATTAATATATTCGCTTGCTAAAATACTGTCGTACTTTGCTCCAGCTCCATTTAATAACTCCATCGACAATATCGGACAAGTCCCAGAACACCTAATAGACATGGCATTCAGGTCTGGCAACCACATACACTAGAGGGACACAATTTCCGCCAAGTGCATCGCCTGATTAACACACACACACACACACACACACACACACACACACACACACACACACACACACACGCACAAAACAAAAGAAGGGTGAAGATCGATGATTTGACTAGTACAGTCCGGCGCTGCGAAACAAACCATTGAGACGGCTGAACCTACTACCGCTCGGCAAACTCTCATTTTCAGACGCATTTTTGGCACTGCTTTCATCTTCACTTCCTTTATGGCGCTGTATAAGCGACTTAAGCGTTTCGCGCTGGCGATTAACACCAAGCTCACCGTTAGTTTCGGAGGCTTTCTGGCTGGCCTTAAACACAGGCTGAAAACATGGTGGCGTTCCAGATTTGGTGGCCCCGACGGTTCGCTCGTTCTCCCCACCAGACTGTTCGTCAGGAAGCCAGCCGGGTCCGGGAGGCCATTTTTGCTTGACCTTGGAAAAAGGAGTAATGAATTTTCTCGCTACCCCTACACGGGCGGGTAAGGGAAGGCCTTTGGGAGCCCGGGCTTTGGGAATTATTGGACTCGAGCCTGAATCGGAATCGCTGTCAGAGTCAGAGGACGATGACTGGCCGTCTACACTTTCCTCATAAACAATTTTATTGTTCATTTCCGGCTTTTTCCAAATGCCCTTCTCTGACGTATCTGATTTCTTTTTCTTCGGGTCTGGCTCCGGGTCCTTTTTGGAGGACTGCAGCTCGGAGTGGGGTGGTTGATGCTCAGACCCACTAGGATTACCTTTAAATTCCGATTTGGATCTCTTTCGTTTCAACTCATTTTTCTCACCAGCGACTTTTGCCTGTTCGCCATTTTTGCCCAATGGTTCATCCTCAGACTCAGATGGAGAATTTGGTGCTATTTCTAAGCCGCCTTCAAAAGGAATGTCGTGAGATGGACGTGATTGCTGAGCAGGTCCGAAGGCTGAAGCATCCGTTGGCGCTTTAGATGAGTTGTTAATTCTGGAGGACCTTCTAGTGATTGGAGAGCCTTCACCAGATGTAGCATCCAACTCAGTGGGGAGCCGTGACTTGTTTTGACCCATATCAATTGTAGCATGTTCAAGGCTTTTATTGAATTTCCCGTGCTGATTCTCCTCTTCGGGGTGACCCTCCTCAGAGCAATCTTCAGGGTGTTCCTCAATTATTTTCTGGATTTTCTTAAGCTTCAACTGGTACTTGGCAATGTCATGGGCTTTCCCCAAATTTATGGCAGCGTGAATTTTATTTGACAGATCGAGAGCGTTGTTCAAATACCGGAGATACTCTTCACTCTTCCCTTGACGTTTTCCGTTCTCAATTTTCTTCTTGAGGCTTGCACCTAGTTGCACCCGTGCAACATATTCATCCGTCACATGGGCGGGGAAAATGCTGCTTCCATACCTTACTAGAGGGGCAGACGCAGGAGTGGGCGCCTTTTCAACTTTCGGGTCGACTGAGCATGAAACAGACTGCCGCGTAGACATTGCTCTTGGCGATGACTTTTGGGTGGAACATAGTGCTGACTGGATGGGTGTACTTGGGTCAACGAGCACTGTTCCCTCAGGCTCTAAGAGAGAACTTCGGCGGTCTGTTTGGGTCTGGTTTCTGGGACAGGGAAATGGAGCGGTGGTCGACAGGTGCGTTTTGGAGGTGCTGTTATTATCACTCACAGCTGCTGGTTCGCTCGTTGAAATGGCTCCAGCACCTTTCGGTGGCGATGCAGTAATTCCAAGACCAAGTTGTCCTGGACCAGGAGGTAGTCGACGAGGTGAAATGTGAGATAGAGATACGCGATTGCTGTCAGTGTCTTTTGTTAGATCTAGGACGTCTCGACCAGCTGTTCTCTGTAATTCAGATGCACTGATACCGTTTCTTTGGTTTTGAGATCGGTCAATCTGGACGGAGAAAAATTTCTGGAGAGGCTTTTTGGGAGTCGTAATTTGCTTAGTTTCTATTACATGGCCGGATGGAGGGGAAATAGAATCGTTGGAAATATCCGTCCTCAGTGCAATGGGATTGGTAGGCTCGCTACGGGGAGTATCGACTTTTGCTGGAATGGCACTGCCAGAGACAGGAGTGGGTGCGCTGTTTACGGTGCGCATGGAATCTGCACGGGTCGTTACACCACTGGCTCCTTCAATGCATTTTCCACCAACAACTTTGTTTCCTCCAGCCGTAAAACTGTTTAGTTGACGACCACCGGTAAAATTATTGGGTTTCCTGGGATCCTCAATCATTTCTGCATCCGAGTCGATAACAAATGGTGGAATGTCAATCCTTGGCGCTTTTGTCGTCTCAGGGGTTGACACTGGGGAGGCTTCTCTCAAATTATCGGGAGGAGTAAGGGAAAGTTCGAGTGCCATCGATTTCCTTCCCGGGCCGCGGAGATTGGATCTCCTCGTCCCACGTCGAATGGTGGTTTGATCGTCGAGAGCGATGTTGTCGTCTGCTTGAGTTTGTCGAGCTATCACATCTCCACTTGCATTGCTGTCAATGTCAATCTCGTTGTTCTCTTCCCCTCCAGCCTTTTCAGCCGCGGCAGCAGCTGCTGCATCCGTATTTAGCCGTAGGATATATTGATCGGTACGGCTGATAGTATTACGTGACCGTCGTTTGGCAGGTTGAGGTTTCGTAGGTTTCTCAGACTCTACGTCGGTGGATGGAATGAGATAGATATCATCCTCAGTTTCCTCCCGATTCCGTTTGGGTAACGTCGCTTTTGGCTTGTCTGGCTTCGCACCCGCAGAACGAAGTTTAGAATTGGATCTCAAAGACGGGTGCGGCGTCATACTGTGTTTTGTGAAAACAACAACATTTGGTGGCGATGGTTGGCGCGACAGTGGTAATGCTGCCCTCTCTGATAACGGGAAAATTCGAGTTAGTCGTCATCTCAAGAAAAAACGGTAGGGAAATACTGGTGGGGGGATTACGAGCTGCTAGAGCGATCTCCACGGCACCTTCGAGAGTCGCCATAGTGTCCATGCTATTTGCCTGGGCGGGTGCAACAGATTCGCGCACTTCCCTTCGTTCGACGTTGTCATCACCGGGTAATGCTTAGAGAAACATATAGTGTGTTAGTAGAGAGTTGTAGAAAGTTGTGCATTATAAAAACTTGGGGCAGGAATGTGTATGTACCTCGGCTTTTGCCCTTGATATGACGCCTTGACTGTTTCTGCGAATCCTCGACCAAAACAGGAGATGGCATGGTATGGTTATCTCGTTTATTGGATGGTTCGTTATGGCGCTCAGTCGAGAGACAGTAGATATCCGACTCTCGTGGATGTGATGAATGACGAGATGGGCCAGAGACAGATTCCGCTGTGATTAAGCCAGCACCACTCGCAGATGTAGGTGAAGCCGGGAATAGAGGCACTGGGGGTAACCGTTTCGTGGGGTTTGCGCGAGCAAGCTGGCGGGGATAAGCAGTCCAGTCCTGTACCACAGAGCTCAGACGTTGGCCACGCCCAGGCATTTGGATAACACGTATCGCGCCTCTCTGATCAAGGCCATCAGCGAGGGCTTTTCCGTGGTCAACAAACACATCGGCCACTGTCAGGTCTGAAGCCAGCGCATCGTTCTCATGTTCGTCATCCACGAGCTTCTTGATTTCGAGAGGGCTAGGATAAGGGTGTTTTTAGAACCATGACAGTTCTCGTGGAGCTGCTGAAAGCTGGAATACTTCCCTAAAAAATGAAAGTGGGAAAGAAGCTCAAGGACAAAGAAAAATAGCACTTACTCAGCATTTGGTTGAAGCTGTCTCCATTTCATCTGTATCATTTGAGCCAATTGTCTCAATGTCACTTGTTCTGGCTGTGGTAGTACCATCAGGAAGCTGATGGTATTGTGGGGGTCTTCATCACTGTCCTCACCATCACCAAATGACGTAGAGCGTTGTTGAATAAGTTGCTCCCCTGGAAAGATTTTGACTGTCAAACGGAGAAGAACCATTGTCGCAGCGGGGCGATGACCCTGAAAGTCTCTCTCCTGCTGTGATGGCTCCTGTCAGATGGGGGGTGATGGGTTCGCAGAGGATTCGGACGGGGTTTCAATGTATGAGAACGGAGCTAAAGGTAAAGATAAAGGTTCGACGAAGGAGGATGAGTATTTTCAGATGCAGGTAGCGACAGGAGTGTCTGGAGGCTTGAGCCATAAAAGGTTATCAAGGCAGTTCGAGAGCAGGGATTCAGCACAAGATTCGATCAACGTATGCATAGAGGTAGAAGAAGACGATGAAAAAAGAAGAGGAGAAGAGAAGGGCAGGATAGCCAGCCCAGTGGATGAACACAAAGGACGGCAATGAATTAAGCGATATGTTGCTACGGTCTGTTGCTGTGTTGTGTCGCTGTTTGTGTGGTGTTGCTATGCGTATGGGGGTCTTGCAAAGGATTTGGAGTATTTTGAAGATTTCGAGGTTGAGGGAAAGGCCGTTGGAGCTTTCAGCCAACGTACAAATTTGAAGATATCCTGCTCAACCAGAGCAAGGCCACCAGCCAGTCTGATACTCATACTCTGGGCTAGAGACGCCGCCACAAATAGGAACCGTTCAACCAACACAGGTTCAATTCAACTAGTTGTCTCTACTGCGTTACGTGCCCAGGAGCTGTCCCCCGAGAGGTGATTCGCGGTACACGGGAGGGCGCAGCGGGCAGTTGCCGCTAAATCTGGACTAAGTAATAATAAGGTTAAACCTCAGCTCCGGTGCAGTTCTGGGGTAATTTACATATTTACTCCATATATTCTTTCTTATTGTTACAGGGACGGGAGATGAGCTGGAGCCTGCCCACAGAGGGTAGTTATCTGATAAATATATTTATTAATGAAGGGGGCGCCCCGTCTTTCATCATCAACGGCTGCTTGAGCACAAAAAGAAAAAGAAAAAGAAAAAGAACTCTAGTTATTCATTTTAGAATATCGTTTACTATTTTATTTCTCTATCAGGCTGAAAAGCATGCTGTTCTGAGAAATTTAAAACTCCATATAAAGCCAACCAAAACATGAGACTTGAGGCGTGTCAGGAACGGGAGAAATGAACAAGAAAAACGACCAAAAAAAACAAAAATATCTAGTTAGAAAACCTGCCAACCACAAAATCTGGAGCTTCCTGGATTAGTTTTTGTAATGAATAAAACCGTTAACCCGCTGTCATATCTCATATCCGTACAATAAGAATTAATATTGGTGAAAAAAAAAAAAAAATATAAAATAAAATAAAATAACCAAGTCAAGATTCTCAAGATAGGAGAATCTTGAATTCATTGCTTTTACGCAGGGGGTGTGAAGTAGCGTCTGAATCGTTCTGTGCTGGTAAGTTGCAACTGCAAAATAACCCAGTGACAATTAATCAACAGGCTAGGGAATCTCACCCCCCAGAATTGGAGATACCCCACAGGCAACCCTCCAATGTGGGCTTTGAGGTGTTCCGGCATGTCATTGTAATGGTTGCGCTTGTTGCGAAGAGCACGCAATAGGTCAAGCATCTTTGAACCAGTATACTTCCGCTGCTTGCCAAGGCTGTCCTTGAAATCTTTGGGCAACAGCTTGAGGAAGTCCATATCCAGTCCCATGACGTCGGGAGCAACGGATTCGAGGCAGAGAAGGGCGGGAGAAGGAGGATCGCGGGGTTCGAATTCAAAATGATCTGACACATCGCATAGGAAGTTAAGACGTTCTGCGGGCGACCAAAAGAAGGGATGGAGCAAAACAGAAGTAGCGTCAGGACTGGATTGTTTATCAGCTTAAAGCGCCACTGTAAGTATATATAGAACACAGTTATATGCGGACTTACCGATGTCGTGGATCCAGAGACAGCATTTGCCTGATTAAATCATCTGCCTCAAAAGCGTAATCTCCAAGTTTCTGTAAATCATCCAGGTTGTGATAACCTTTAACGATGTTTGCCTCGCGCATGAATTTGCCATCCTTGTCGAATGGATGGCCGCCTCGCGTCAAAACATAGTAAAACACACAGCCAAGGGAGAAGATATCGATAGCACGTGTCGCTCGTCGGTTTGTCTGGGGATCAACTACTGCCGGCTCAGATGAGTCAGCGCTCTGGTTATCCCAGGTCGCAGGGTTCGCAACGCTTTGGTCATCGTCGACGAGGAGTTCCGGTGCACGCCAGCCAGACGTCCCAGCAGCATGCGCGGTTGTTGCTCTGAAGGAGCTTTGATTATCTTCCAACTTTTTACACAGACCAAAGTCGGAGATGAGAAGCCTGAGAGAACTTGAACCGGTTCGAAGTTTCGGTGCCGTCACAAGGATATTTTGAGGTTTCAAATCACGATGGACAATTTTCAATGAGTGGAGATACCGAACCCCGGAAGTGATTTGCCATAATATATCCGGAACATCCAATCCCCCGTTGACAAGGTCAGGATAATCAAACTGCTTTTCAACTACATCCTGTAATGAGGCAGGACAGAGCTCAAGACCAATATAAAGAAAACCAGCAGTTTGTTCACGGCAAAAATATCGAATGACGTTGTTATGGTCATCGCTTTCCTGAAGCAAACCAACCTCGTGGGACGCAATATCGTAAAACTCCACCAACATCCTTTTCACCGCAACATCCCGACCGTCGAATGACCCCTTGTAAACCACAGTTCCATGGCTGCCATGCCCTAAAACCTTATCGGTATGAACCTTCAGTTGACCGATTCTAATTGATCCATCCATCTCCACCATTTCTGTTGAGATACTCCTTACAATTTGCTTCTCGGGTCCCAGATTTTTACCAGGCGGCTCATTTCTGTCGGTTTCGGATTCCAGGTCTGCGGAAGTTTTAACGTCTCCATCTTCCCCCTGTTTTTGATTCTGGTTCTTCTTGCCACGTTTATGGGCTTGACCACCCCGTCGTCCACGACGGGCTTTTTTCTTTGCTTTCTCGGGGGTTTGAAGCAGGGAAAGCTCCTCCACATCGTCGTCCTCATCATTATTCTGGTGAGGCTCCTCAATTCTAACCTTAGGGGTAGAATTAACAGCACTCGAACTTTGTGGATTCGGCCGAGAAGTTGTGCTACCCTCATCGGAGTTTGGGGTGCTGATATCAAAAGTAACTTCCGACGTGTGACGAGAATCTATATTTTTGGATGGAACCCTTGTCTCGTCTAACTCGGACGGGATTGTCGGCGTTGAGGTGATGATAGGCGTTGAAGGTGTCGTAGACAAGGGCTTCCCATTGATAGAGATAACGTTTTTAAGATCAAGTTTCTGTTTCGCAAGCTCCTGTAAATTGTGAGTGTTGAAGTAGACGAAGGTTCCGAATGCGAGTAATATGAGGGTGACGATGACATCAACCACATTGTCCCATCCCTTTTGAATTAGAACGTGGGGCCTAATGGTAGGTTGGGGAGGAGACCTAGTTGGAACTCTCACGATATCTCTGGGGGTATCATTCGACCAATCGGCTGGGGGCCCTGAAATGCTGGGAATAGTTCGTTGATACTTGTCTGATGGCTCATTGAGCGAGTGAACGCCGACAAGAGCAGCCCTCTGCTGAGCAAGGCTGTGGCTCATCAAGGGTTTCTCATTTGCAGGATAGTCTCTCTCGTAGCATTCTGCTAGTCTGGCACGCCCTGTTACTAGAGGGTAAGTGGATTCTGACATCGCATACCAGCCACCATTCTCGGTGCAATTTACGAAGACACGGGACTCTCGGTCTTCTGGGCCAGATAAAGCAACATTGGTATCCGGGGGACTCAGCGGCTGGGCAAGGAGAACCAGGGAGGTGTCAGCCGAGTCAACGCGAGCAGGACGGGCAACGTCGAAAACGCGTGCTACCGGGGTATTAAACTTCTGGGTGTAACGGCGTCCATCTACTTTTGAGTGGTCGAACCCGAAGACGACACCGTCGTGCATGCTGTAGATGTGGCGTTCGTCCATCGTTCGAAAATATTGGCTTTGGAGGTCGACATCACGATTGTTGGGGGCCCATTCGGAGTATTTGATGGTGCAAATAGGATTGCCGGTTTCAGTGTTCTGAATAGTTACCACATATTCGAGACGGCCAATGGTGAGGGTGCCACTTGTTTCGCATTCTTCTCCACCATCATCATGATCATCATCATCGAGGACCTCCAGGTCATTGACTCGCCGGCATCTCTGCTCTGTCGCAGCAGAACCTCGAGAGCTAAAAACACGGAGAATCGCACCGGTTCGCGCATCTACCGTATACAGGGTGGTTTCTTTCCTTGCCGTGTAAGTGACTGGAGGATCTATTCCTGAATAGGGAGTTTCGTCAACCAGAGCCCTCACGGTCAACCCCAGCTTCTGAAGACCGCCATTTGGGGCTTGGTTGTAGATGTAAAGATCACCATCCCGACTAGGTTCCACGATCCAAAGAAAATCATCCTCGGGTTGCGCGTCTGCAAACCCAGATCGATTGGACTGGTGATAGATTGTTTCCACCATTGGGCTACTCGGGATCTCGAGGGCCCACCGAGCAGCACCGGTCTTGCGATCTCTCGAATGAATGGTCCCATCGACGGTCGCCAGGAGGACAAAGTCCTCAACCTCCCAATCCTGCAACGACCGCGCTTGGAGCTGCGGAATCGGACCAGCAGTCTGGGCAGGAGGTGCTCGAACGGCGGAACTGGAGGCCGCCGGAGCAAAAGTCGCTAGGGCGCTCGCATCGTTTGGGTTTGCGAGGTGAGGGTGAGGGTGAGGGTGAGGGTGAGGGTGTGGCTGAGAGTGTGTGTTGCGAAAGAGGGCTTGTGGGGTGTCGATATTGCGTGCGAGAGGCTGCTGCTGCTGAGCGACCACGAGGGGGAAGAAAAGGAGGGCAACGCTGGCGGGGAGGGCGGCGTGGGCACCAGGCAGGCGCCAGATCATCTTGGAGGGCCTATGCTCTTGCAGGCTGTTTCTACGTGACAGATGAACCGTAGGCCCCGGTAGACGACATGAGAAGCTATCGCATCAACTTCGAGGGCGCTCCCGAGAGAGCAGGTGTGCGGAAAAGGGAGGGAGTGAGGAGGGTTGGTTAATTCAAAAAGAAGAAGCAAGCAAGCAAATACGCAACCAAAAAAGCGATGATAGAGTGGGAAAGATGTGATAAAAATGTCGTAAAACGAGTGAACGGTGGGCTGGGGTAGGGGAACGGGGAGAAGGGAGGGAGCAGGGAGGGAGCAGGGAGGGAGAAGTGGGATGTTGAAAGAGACGAACGAGATGGAACGTGTGGTGGATGGATGCGTGGTGGGAAGTGCGAAGTTGCAGCTCTTCTGGTGGAGTTGGACCAGCTCCACAGGGTTTGGCTTGCCACGCAGAGCGAGAGTGGAAGGGGACAAAGAGGGGACGAGAGAGTGTTTGGGGTGTGTTTTGGGTGTTGGGCGGTTTGGTTGGGCGGTGTGGTTTGGCCGGGTGGGCGTAGTGGGCGGTGGCGGGGGGCATAATGAGTTCCTCTGCAAAGGGACCCCCGGGTCATTTCAGTCAACAAGTTACGGTCAGCTGCCGAAATAGTACTAGCGCGGAAATATTTGCCGCCCGCAACCCTTTGGGAATTCAGAGCAACGCTGATCTTGGGTTCCGAGACAGCTTATCAGCTTGTACCGTACTGTATGGTCCCGTAAATCCTGTGGAGCGCGGACTCGGTAAGTGCCGTAGCGTCTTGTCGCTGCTCAGCAGGTGGTTGTAACATGTTTGATACAGCTTACATAATCGAAAATGGCTCTCGAGCTGGCCCCACAAGGGGGTGGGCCTTTAATAGAGTGGGTCAACCGTCTTCTGGTTACCATCCGTAAAGTCTGGTCAGAGAGCATGCAGTGTGAAGGGAGATAGATAATTGGAAGAACCACAATCCAACTGTGTGAATTAGGAAGTGAATATTCTGCGATGAGAAAAATATTCATGTCTTCTGCATATATTACATCTCTCTTTTCTGTTTGAGACAATTCAAGTTAAGACATGAGTAACTATAAAATAGGTGTCACTCAAGTCCTAAGTAGTTAACTTATTAGTTTAGATGCAACGACTGAATAACTATCGGTATGCAGAACTGCTCACTCGATAAATCTTCCTGTCATTTATCAGCCACTAATTGAGCTTATTTTTCAAGTTGACTGTTACGTTCAATATACAAGTTTGCGCATCGCTGACGGATAAAGTGGCATTCAAATTGCAGCAGTTCCTTTCCACTGGCAATTCTTGAACAATAGCTTATCTGTGGAACTAATGGAAGCCTCCCTAAATCTTGATGATCGTGGACGTGGGCGGGGCCAAAAGGGTCTCTTTCCAAGGACAATCAACCCACCACTACTGCTAATGGCAGGTTTAATCGAAAGTAACTAACACAACCACGTTGAAATAGAGCCAAAGATCATGGTCAATGTTGGCGATCATAAATAATAGAGAAGGGAAATAAATAAATAAATAAATAAATAAATAAAAATTAAAAAATTATAAAAAAAAAAAAAAAAAAAAAAAAAAAAAAAAAAAAAGGGTGGGGGGGCTCTGTGTATATTCTGTGCAGTCTCACCGCCCGGATAGAGTCATTCACGGACTGCGCTTACTGTGAGGCGATTGAAGCTGAGGTCACAACAACATAGGCAGCCATACCTTCATAAAGAAGAGCTCAAAACTACGGTTCAATGTTTAAATCCTTTTACGGTGGGAAATCTACCTCAATGGCTATGATTAATTGCAGACGAGTCTTGTTGGCGGCTGAGGAATGTCGAACCAGGGAGCAAAAAAAAAAAAAAAAAAAAAAAAAAAAAAAAACAAAAGGTTGTGTGCAAATAGATGAAGAATCCTTTTCGAGCATTTCTAGATCCATTGTGTGTGGAAGCCTGTATTCCGCAAAACAGCTGATCCGAAGGATACAAGGCAATTTCTCATTATCTTGGAGATGTTTGAAACAACATTAACTATATTTCTCTAAGTGAACGAATATAATGTCGCGCTTTCTGGTTTCCTTTTATGCTCCAAGATAAATAACGTATTAGTGATGGCCAGTCGCTTCACATGCGTTCTCGCTTTCTTGGAGCACTCCGGATAATGTTGTCTACCCGGAGCAATAGCTAGAAAGGTACCTGTATGTCAGCTACAAATTCGAAAGAGGGAAAAGCCAAAAAAAAAAAAAAAAAAAAAAAAAAAAAAAAAAAAAGAGTGAATCATACCTCTGCAGCTTCGGATGCTGACGACACGACTGCTCGTTTCAACTTGTAGCTCTCTACCACACCCAGCTCCCGCATGTCCGCGATACCACCACCAGGAGTAAGAAGATCTAGTCCAGAGCTTGTCATTCCATTATTAATAGCTTGCCGCAACCTCGTGACAAGGTCGCTCGAGTCCAACCCGGCGTTATCTGCAAGAATGGTCGGCAGTTGTTTGAGGGCTTGGGCGAATGCGTCCACAGCAATTTGCTTTTTCCCAGTGGTGTTTTGAGCGATTTGCTGGACTGCCTTTGCCATCACCATCTCGGCGTTGCCCCCACCTAACGTCACTTTTGGCTCACGCACTGTTTGGGAGAGGACAGCAAGCGCATCGTGTAGAGATCGTTCTGCTTCGTCTAGGAGCTGCTCGGTGGCGCCCCGGAGAACGATAGTACAGGCTTCGCCAGCCGCAACGCCGGAAAATTTGATTAGAGTGTCCTCGCCAATTATGACTTCTTCAATAAGATCACACCTTCCCAGCTTAACCTGTTCCGGGTGATCAAATGTGGATGCGATCTCCCCTCCAGTTACCAGTGCCAGACGTTCAATGCCGTCAAAATCAGCGTGCTCGATGGAAACAATCCCAGCATCGGTAAAAAGTTGCTCTGGCCAGTTGTATATGAGTTGCCGATTGACGAAGCAGTTGATTCCATGTGCCTTGATCTTTTCGACCTTCGCTCGCATCTTTTCTCTTTCCGCCTTCTCCAATTCTGCTAATTTCCCAGTCGATTCGACCTTCACTCGAGCACCGAAAATTTTGATTTTATCAGTATCCATAGCAGTATTCGCGACCAGAATTTTCGCATTTTCAAGCCTCTTGGGCTGGTTCACACCGATCTTCTTGTCCAGAATGAACCCCTCGTCAAGATATGAGTCGCTTAGCTTCCCGCCAGCCTTCTTTATAATTTGTATATGGCTTAAATCGGTGGATCCTTTGAGTCTGAGGACAGCACCACAGGCTAATCTCGCAAATTGATCTCGGTCTTGGCTGAGAACTTTGGAACTGAGCGTTGTGCGGGCAATGGCATGCATATCCTTTCGGAACGCAACCGGGTCCTTGCTATTGTCGACAGCAATCCTCTCCAAGGCTTCAAGGGCAGCACGGCTGGCAATCCTGTAGCCTTCGATAATGGTTTGAGGATGTATTTTACGTTCCACAAGCTTTTCCGCCTCTCTTAGGAGTTCCGCTGCGAGAACAGTGACCGACGTAGTTCCATCCCCAACTTCATCGTCCTGCACCTTCGAGATATTGACAAGGACCTTGGCCGCAGCGTTGTCGAGGGCTATTGCTTTGAGGATTGTAGCCCCGTCGTTTGTAACCATTATCTCACCAGTAGAACTATTTGATTGTTAGATTGGTATTTTGGAATTGCTGCGGACAACGACAAAAGAAAACGTACGCAGATTGTAAGATCTTGTCCATTCCTTTAGGCCCCAGGGTGCTTTTGACAAGGTCACCTACTGCTATAGCTCCCACAAATGCGGACAAACGAGCATTTTCGCCTTTCTCCTCCGTAACATCTTCAGCGAAAATCTGTGTTGGGTTGTTGAACGACGCCTGTCAAAGTCAGCAAGAAACCGGAATAGAATATCATGGCAGACATACCATTATGAAAGAGAGCAGCGGTAGCTAATATAGATAGCTACGGTACGGGCTGCTGCGGTTTGAAGGTTAAGAGAGCAGCACAACAAACAACAACAAACAACAACTTCTTCAACTGCCACTGACTGGTTGCTCTCGTTTTTCGCCTGCGGAGTTTTGCTTTTAAGATACAAAGACCCAGCCGCAGCCGGGGTTCTTAGTCAGCCTGGCCCCTGCGTAGCTAACTATCTAACTATTAACGTTAAAACTAACTAGCTCAGGAAATAAATAGTTGAAACTTCTGCCGGACACAAGACTCCAAGACTGCTAAAGAAACGTACTCAACTAGGTACATACATAGCAACAAATATACAACTCGTGTTTAGTGTGTCATTTGAATTCCGGTGCTTTACAAGGTTTCCAACTCCCTTGGACCAATGACTGACGTAGAGGAAGAAAGCCACACGGGATCTTCCAACAAGCGACCTTACTCCCAGCTTGAAGACGCCGAAGGGACTGGTTTGTCTCCCTCGATTTGCTTGTTCATGAGAGAGAGGGAGCTATGTGGCTAACAGTGAGGGCAATTAAAACAGGTGGTTATCCCTCCTCATCCGAAGATGACTTTGGACCTGCTCTACCTTCTTCCGCCGCACCCAAAAAGAAACGACGAAAGCTGCCATACGAAAAAGTCTACCTGAATGCTCTCCCCCATTCTTCGCGATATTCAAAATCTCTTATGCACAAGGACCAGCTTTCTTTCGTTACCCTAACTCCGCACACCGATTTTCTAATTACTAGTTCGGTTGATGGTGTGGTCAAATTTTGGAAAAAGATGCCCGTTGGGGTGGAGTTTATTAAGGAATTCCGTGCCCATGTTGGGGAGCTCACTGGGGTAAGCGTTAGCCCTGATGGGAGGAGCTTCGCTACGGTTGGCGTGGATAAAACGGTTAAGATATTTGATGTGATTACGTTTGGTAGGCAGGAGCTTCGTTTCTTTCCATCTTGCTGTGATGGTTTGGATATTTTTTGGTAGCTAATGACGTACCAGATCTGCTGTCAATTCTAACTTTGGACTATATCCCGGGGTGTGTATGTTGGGTACATCGACGAGGGGCATCGTTACCGCTGCTAGCAGTGAGTAGTGATTCCAGTGGTTCCATAATGATTTTCGATGGGCGTGGAGAAAACCCACATCCCCTCCACACCTTGACATCCATCCATCGATTCCCGGTGGTTGCTATGGCCTTCAACGATCCATACGACTGTGTGGTTTCGGCCGATGAAGCAGGGATGGTCGAATACTGGCGGCCAGATGCCACCTTCGAAAAACCAGACAACGTATTCGAACTGAAATCTTCCACCAACCTGTTTATTTTCAAAAAGTCCAAATCGGTCCCATCTTCTATTACAATATCCCCGTCAGGCCACCAGTTCGCGACCTTTTCATTTCCCGATCGGCAAGTTAGAGTATTTGACTTTCCTACCGGGAAATTATACAGGTCATATGATGAATCTATCACAACGCTGACGGAGATGCAGCAAGCTGGAACAGCACTATATCAACTGGATGAGGTCGAATTTGGACGGAGAATCGCAATCGAGAAGGGCCTTGAAAACAGCGCTACCGTGTCAAAGGTCAATGTGATATTTGACGAGTCGGGACATTTTGTGATGTATGGTTCTATTATGGGGATAAAATGCATTAACACCTTCACGAATCGCATTGTCAGAGTCTACGGTAAAGACGAACCATTTCGCGCCTTAAATCTGGCCGTCTACCAAGGCCAACCGCAGAAAAAGGGGGTCGTTACAGTTTCTATGGCTGCCAGTGCCAATCCTTTGCTTCAAGAAGCGGAAGAGCGCGATCCCATGGTAATCAGTACTGGCTTTGCAAAAATCCGTTTCTATCTTTTCACGAACGAAACAGAAGTATCTAAGACTAGTCGGGACGTGCTGAATGAGAAACCTGTTGGGACACGTGAAGACACCTCCGCCGTCGCCGCAGTTAAACCTGCGGAAGCAGGTACGTCTGCAATTCTTCACACTACCTTAGGCGATATTCACCTCAGACTGTTCCCTTCTGCGGCTCCCAAAACCGTGGTTAATTTTGTCACACATGCTCGCAATGGTTACTATAACAACACTACGTTTCATCGAGTGATTCGCAAATTCATGATCCAAGCTGGCGACCCGCTCGGTGACGGCACGGGTGGGGAGTCAATTTGGGGTGGTGAGTTTGAAGATGAGTTTTCGACCCTTCGCCATGATAAACCGTACACGCTATCGATGGCGAATGCAGGTCCAAATACGAATGGAAGCCAATTTTTTATTACAACTGAGAAGACGCCATGGCTTGATGGGAAACATACGATATTTGGGCGGGCGGTCAAGGGGCTTGACGTGGTACATAAGATCGAAAATGTAAAGACGTACAAGGAAAAACCAGAGGAGGATGTGAAGATAGTTAGCATCAGTGTATCATAGTCATTCTGGGCGGAATCCAGGTAGAAAAAATTACAGTTAGAAAGAAACAAATGGTCAGTTCTGACTTTAATTCATGCTGGCATATAGAAACAAGATTCGTACCCAAGTTTACTAGTTTTCAATGTGTCACTAAAAATCAACATGTATTTCCCAAGACATATGTTACATGAAATTTTAATAAAGAGCATCTTGAAGCAGTTTGAATAACGTTAACGACTAACGAGTATATCTCGGTGGGTTCACTTAGTTCATTCAAGAGACGTGCAGTACATGTAGCTCCGACCCTCCGGACAGCAGAGATAGAGATACCGAGGGGGCATTTTTTGGGAAGTTCTGGCAAGTGACTGAAGTAGAATTACCCTAACAAGGCAGATAGTGATTGCTTTGCGCAGCCCAAGCCCGCTTCACTGTATGGGCGCGCAGGTTGTGAAGCAGCCCCACGGGGGTTGGAGCAAGGGAAGCGTCAGTCAACAGACATCATCGTTAACGCTGCGGAGCGCACTGAACGATGGAGCGAATGGACAGCTATAAAGATAGGTTTGGAAGAATTGACGGTGTGCGTGCACCTGATTGAGATGAGGAGGCAGTGAGAGAGAGCGCAACCGGAAGACAGAAAAAGGGTGAAAGAAAAAGAAAAGCGGGTGTGAGATGATGAAGAACCGTGAGAGAGGACTGATTGATTGGCTTTTCCTCTTCGACTGCTTCTAAAAAGTTCGGGAGGTTGAAATGAGGCGGATTTAAGCGTTTCTGACGGGACTTGACTTAGGGCCAGAGCAAACACTCAGGTTATCATGTTTTTTTTTATTCTTTTCCTCTTTCTCATTTCATTTCTTTTTATTTTGCAAATATTCCGTACATACCTGGATATCCATTGGGGCCCTCAGTATCAGTTTCTGAGCCCAAGAAACAAATAACCCTTCGGGGAGAAATTGATGAAGTCTTTATCACTCAGAATATTCAGTGCTTCCCAATGGCGCAGTGACTTTTCATTGCTGAAGTGTTGTAGTAGAGCAGAAAAAAAAATCGGATTTAGCTAAAGTCTCGATTTTAAGCATTTGTGACATAACCTGGTTACTTAACTAGTTATAGTTAACGTAATCCACCACCCAACGCCCGTTTACACCCAACACCCTCCATTTCGCCATCACTATAATGAAATATTTTCAACATTATTTCAACAACGCAATTAGATTTCAAGATGATATATCATATGATGAAAATATATATAGAAAATTACATATAAAAATATATAGCTAATTCTGTAAATGTTTGTTTGACTTAATAACTCACCCAGAATGTGAAATCCTGGGTGGAGACAGATTCAGTGAGCAAGCAGTCATTAAATCAGGAGAGATTGCAATATTGTCAGATCACTCAGGCAGTAGATCTGCAGGCACCCTGACAGGGCTCTGAAAACACAATTTAGTCACTCTTTGCAAAATTGAGAGTCTACTTTTCTGATTAGAAAGGTGATTTTTAAATTCTTCAATCATCTTTTTATTCAATTGTGATTGTAGCTGTATAGCAGCTCATTCTTTCTTCTGTTTTTGCTTTTGAGCTTTCCTTGCATCTCTAAGCTTCTTCTCAATTTGCCATTGAGCAGCTCTCACAGTCTTATCTATCTCCTTTTGCTCCTTTGCTACCTGATGAGCTGTCTCTACTTCATTCATTGTGATATAATATCTGCCTTCTTCTGCTCCTTAAGAATAATATATTGCAACTTAGCATTTATAAGGGGTTGAACCCCTAGATTTGCTCTGGCTGGCTGACTCAGCCTAGTCATTGTTTGCATGTGCGCACATGATCATGCTATGTGAGCTTGCTTAAGCTCAAGTTCTCATCTCATTCTTTTCTTCCCTTTCTCAAGCAATTCATCCTTATTATATAGGAGGACTAGCCTCTAGTTCTTAGAGCTTAACCCTTTACATTATGAATTGCTTTACTCCTTTCATTGATAGGTCACTGGGAGCCTTAATTCTGTATCATGAAGCTCAGCAAATGTGCTGACATATGATAGACTATTGAGAGTCTTAAATTCTGCATCACAAAGTTCAGTGATAGCACTGATATATGAATAGACTGGGTTAGCAATCATGCTAACAAATGAATGAGCAATATTGAGAATGTCTAGCTGAATGAGATAAAGCAGCAGACTTGTACAACAAATGAATCAACACAAAGCAATGAGCAGAGACACTTCCAGCAGCTTTGAACAACAATGAATGATCTTTCTTCAATAGCAGAAACAGGTCCAGTGTGAGAACAGAGATTTAATAGCAGCTCAGCAAGCTGAAATAGCTAATCTACAACAAGCTTTGAACATCTCAACATCAATTTTCTCTCAATCAAATCTGCAATCACTCATTGTAGTCAGAAGACTCAAGATCAAGCTACTGAACTGTGAGAAGTATGATGATTCTAATCTGAAGCACTACTCTCAGTGAGAGCTAAAGCTTCAATCAAAACTTAAGATTGATGAGAAAGCTTTAAATAATAATGAGGAATATACTTGATATGTATACTCAAGACTGAAAGAAATGACA